GCAAATTGAGGAATTAGAGAAGCAATTGCATGTGACACAGGATCGGCTAAGTGACTTAGCCGCTGATAAAGGCGTTGCGTGGATTGATTCGATGCTGAGTTTTTGCAAGTACGCATTACCTGTTAGAGTTGTAAATTGTGTTACTCGTTTAAGTAGCGCTGCTTGGAAAATCTTTAGTTATAGTCGGCTATATTGTGCAGTAGAGATGGGCGTTGCGCTTTGTTTTTAGATGCATAATGATATACCTAGTTAAAAACACTTCACCTCCATCGTTTATATTCCATCATTTTTGTACATTGTATGTTTATTTCAGTTCCTTTATAAATTTGTTTATTGTAGGTTTATTTAAGCTCCTTTATAAATTTGTTGGCTTTGTGTGTTTATGGTTAAGGCTTGTGTGTTCTTCACACAGAAATTTTAACTTTCACCACCCATTTATTTAGACAAGAAACTGATGATCTGAAGACACAACTTCATGGCGTGCGGATTCAGAAAGCAAGTTTGGAAGAGCAGCTACGCAACGTGCAACAGGAGATGACACGGTATGTAGCTTTAATGTATTAAAAAAAAAAAACAATTTAGATTGGTAAAAAGTTAATAACTGTACTTATGCATCGAAATTAAATAGATGGCGCTTCGAAGCATTGAAAACGCGTTGTGTACTGCTCGACAGAGAGAATATTTTAAATGAGAATGACATTAAATTCAAGGCTATCCATGCCATGGAGTTCAACATCAGTCAGAAAGAACAGGAAATCGCACGCCCACGTATTGTACACGCCTCACCCGGAACACCGCAAGTCATGACACCCATAGCCGCTACAACAACAACAGCACCCACAGACAGAATACCTAGTTTTGTTGGTACTCCATTGACATCGACTCCAACTGAAGGCAATGCAACACTAATCAACACCCCACCGGGTATTATTTCGAATGCGGTAAAACAGGAGTTTGATGTTAAAAACCCAGCTGAAATGACCCCGTTATTTGAGAAAATAAAGCTTGAATGTAGAGAAAACGATGAAATGTCTCAAGAGCAGAATGATTCAAACATATCTTTGGCAGCTGGAGGTGTTACCAAAATGTCACCTTTGCAAGAGCTTGCCATTGAAAGCAATTCCTTGGCAAATGAATTAAGAATGCTACCACCGACCCATGACAAGAAGATACCGCCTAGCCTGGATGTGCAACCCGGCCGTTCGATTCTGTCAAAGAAACGCGACGATTTA